GAAGAAACCCGCCCTCCATCTTTGAAGCTGCCCCGAACAAGACGAATGTGCACTGCGCTAAGGCGAGAGCCACATTTTGAAATGAACCCGCCCTCCGTCAGTGAAGCTGCTGAGAACTATGAAGACGAATGTGCGCGGCGCTCAGGCGAGAACCACATTTTGAAAAGAACCCGCCGTCCACCCGTGAAACTGCTTCAATTCTTTAAGACTGTGTACGACTGCTGCAAACTCTTAAGACGAACATGTGCAGCTCTAAGGCGAGAGCAACATTTCGAAGAGGACTCGCCCTCCATCCGTCAAACTATTGCAAATTCCAAGCGTCAGACTTATACATGGTGGGGAAGTCTCAGACGAAACGCCTGTCCCGCCTCACCAGCACGTCTGGCTGCGACAGGGAGGAGTTTTGTTAAAGAAAAATTGCTGAATGATGATGATGAGGATTATGATGATGATGATGATGATGATGATGATGATGCTGATGATGATGATGATTATGATGATGATGCGGATTATGATGATGATGCGGATTATGATGATGATGATGATGATGATGATGCTGATGATGATGATGATGATGATGATGATGATGATGATGATGATGATGATAATGATGCGGATGAGGATGAGGATGAGGATGAGGATTATGTTTGTGATGATTTTGATGATGGTGATGGCAATGGTGATGATGATGAGGAGGAGGAGGAGGACGACGCTGACCTCTCAAGACCCTCTAGGGTTCTCTAGGCGGCATCCTGGCGCGTCTGGGACCGTCGTTACCGTATCAATGGTGTGTCTCAGGCTCCCGTGGACTGCGGCTCCTGTTTCTCGGCTCCATTCTGGCTCGTTGGGCGACCTGCGCGCCCCCAAGTTCCCTCAGGACTTGACGACTCTTCTCCAGTCGACTTGGGAGGTCAAGCCTGATCAATCAAGGTACATATCCGTACGCAAGTCGATGCAAGTCCAGGTCGATCGAGGTAACTCCAGAGATATCCAGATGCATCTGCGACACCCTTTTGAAAGCTCCAGATCGATTCGGTGGACAGCAGAAACCGTCAAGCCCTTAACGAGCGTTGGGCGATCCGCTCGCCCCCCAGGCCGCGAAAGTGAGCTCTCCCAATGGAAGGATTTGGGGAGGAGCAGGCCTGAAGCCCTTTGTGAAAACGTCGCGACGCAATGCTTTCTGACCGCTGTCGGTCGCCTGGGGCTCTTACAGGGACCAGGAGCCGTCGAAAGAAGGCTCGGGATGAGAAGAGGGTTCCCAGAAGGTGTCGAGACCTCTTGGGGGCCCAAGCTGTGAAAGTATCCTGAGCCTGCGGAAGGGGCAGCCGTTTTGGACGCCACACCGGTGATCCCGTGGGGTCGGCGGATTCCAGCGATCGTGCTCGTCCAATTCTGCAACCAGCTCTCGTATCCCGGCTGCCGCGATTTCTTCGCTGAGCGTATGCGAGCGGCGGGCGTGCCAGGCACTCCGTACTGGGTGCTGATCGCCGCGCACGCGCTGGCGAGCGTCGGGATGAGCTTCGCCTTCGGCTGCACCGACATCCAGAAGTCCCTCTTCCCTCGGGAGCACGACTCGCTGCGCTGGGGCGGGCACTCCGCCGAGACCTGGGAGGTGCTCATCGTGGTCGCGGTGGTCTGCGCGGACTTCTGCGTGACGATGCGGGAGCTGAGCGTCCGGCTGGCGCACTGCGTCGTCTTCCTCGGCGTGGTGTTGACCCTGTGGATCACGGAGGGGTCGTTGGCCGTCGGGTCGAAGTGGTGCTCGTGGGCGAAAGTCATATCCGTGTCCGCGGCCTCGCGGGCCGGGCCCCTGAGCCGCGACCGCGTGGATACGGAGTGTTTTTTCGCGGCTGCCCCGCGCGGAACGTATCCGTGCGACCGCGTATCCGCGGGATTGCGCCCCAGATCTGGATATTTTCGCCGTTCGTGAGGTGCACCTACTGCCTGATCTTCTCGTTGGTGTACGTGTCCGACCCGCTCTGGGGCCCAGGGCCGGGAGGGAAGGCCCCGGGCCGCGCTGGCGGTGCCGCAGCGGCAGGCGAAGGAGGGATGACTGCGGCGGCAAAGGCCAGTGGCGGCGGCGGCGGCTGGCTTGGGCCGTCCTGGCTCATCGTTGCGGCGCTTGCGCTCATTCCGGCGCTCGCGCTTGCGTCCCCGGCAGCGACGTTGGCCACGCAGGCTCGGATGAGTCAAAGCCGACGTGTCGCCATGAGCTACACGGGGCCCTCAACGAACGGGGTCTTGGGGTTTTATGAAGACGGCCTCTCGGGGCCCTTCGGGTCCCCCCAGGACAGTTGAAATGCTCAGGGGGGCTCTTGGGTGTCCAGAATCCGTTTTCCTCAGGACCCCCCTCTGGCTCACGGCAAGTGGGTCCCTCGGTCCCTCGGTGTTTCATGGGCCGCGTCGTGAGCCCTTTGGGCCAGATCTGCGCAGGAAGTATCGGGAGCTTCATGCCGTGGTTTTGGATCCTCCACAGGCCCTTTCCACTCTGAGCCAGTAGGCAGATAGTGCGCATGACGTGGGCTGGCTGTTGCGGCATTGCAATCCAATCGCTGCCACCAACAGTCACCTGTTCTTTCAGGCTTCTTCATGTACATGTCTGAGCGTTGCCTTGCATGTTGGATGTTGTGGAGGTCTTCGTCATATGTACATGGCATACCCATATACGCATTTTCACATTCTTTGTATCTAATGGCCCTCGGCCCATCCCGCAAGCGTGCCTGGGTTGTGGGTCAGAGTTCGCAGGGATGCTTCTTCGGTTCTCTTCGGAGCGCTCTCAGGGGCCGCTTGGGAGCAGTTTGGAGGCCTCTTGGGAGCCTCTTGGGGGCCTCTTTGATTTTTGTTTATGTTTTTCCGTGGTCTCGTCCTGGGGAGGGGGGGCACGCCGCCGGGACGAAGAGCAGGAAAAACCTGCCTTGCACAAGAAACATGGGGAAACAACTTCAGCCTCCCAGGGAGGAGGAGAAAACATAGGAATCCACTTCAGAGGAGGCGAGAGGAAGAGGATGATGAATAATAATACTAAGATGAAAGACGAACTATTAGTAATACAAATATGAAGAGTACATGCCACTACTACTTTTATTACTACTACTACTACTACTACTATTACTACTACTACTACTACTGCTGCTGCTACTACTACTACTACTACTATGAGTACTGCTGCTACTACTACTACTATTAATATTATTTCTGCTACTACTACTACTCCTACTGCGACCATTATCATTATTGTTACTACTACTACGATGGCTACTACTATTACTACTACTACTACTTTTACTTTTACGTTTACGTTTACGTTTATTATTATTACTACTACTACTACTATTACTACTACTACTACTACTACTGCTGCTGCTGCTGCTGCTGCTGCTACTACTACTACTACTACTACTACTACTACTACTACCTACTACTCGTACTGCTGCTGCTGCTGCTACTACTACTGAGACTAAGAGAAACAATACTAGTAATACTCTGGCTAATGCTAGTAATACTAAGAAGGACAATCGTAATAATGCTAGCAGTACTAATCAGAACAATGCTAATACTATCAACCATACGAACAATGACACTACCAGCCAGCGTTAATTCCAGATATATTAGACGACTGAAATCAAAAATTCAGAGGAATCAAGCATGCTTGGAATCCGCAGCTCAGCAAGCAAGCAAGCGTGCAAGCAAGCACGCAAGCAAGCAAGCAAGCAAGCAAGCGCGCAAGCAAGCAAGCAAGCAAGCGTGCAAGCGCGCAAGCAAGCAAGCAAGCAAGCGCGCAAGCAAGCAAGCATACATATGGGGGGGTGCCATTGGAAAAAGGGGGGGGGATAGGCATAGGCACAGGCATCGCCATAGGAATTAGTGGGGGGGGGATAGAAATGAGGGGGGGGGGGGAACTGAGCAATTAGTAGGGTTTGAGCCAGGACTCCTACAGGGCAAGCCTGTTCGGAGAATATGAAGAGGTTTTTTCCGCCCATGGTTTTGTCTCGATGTGCCCAGCCAAGCCGATATCGTTCCCCTCGTCCCTGTCGAGAATTATTGAATGGTCACACTCGTTTATCTAGACAAGTCATATTTGCATGGTCGTTGCACAACTTGTTACTAAGTCCGCGCGCGCTCACATGCTGAAATGATACCAACACATACCAGCTCTGCATGTATTTCAACATGAAATCATCACAACCCCGTGGGTTTCCCACAAGTCTTGCACATTTCCAGTCCACGCGCATGCATGCTGAAACCATCAGAACCTCGTCCAACACCGGCATCTCGTCCAACACCTGCATTCTTATCTTGCCGCTCAGTGCAACCGTGTTGATCCAGCATGCGCCCAGTGTACGAATCCGTATCACATGATATCCTGCGGGCCACACGCGCGCGCCACCATGCCCGCGTGTCGAAATCCTCCCCAACCGTTGGTTTCCGAAGCATTTCAAGACAGAGCTCTGCAACAACATACGAACATCCACATGGTTTCCACTAGAAGATTTGCCAGTTTTTTTTGTTGCATTTCCGCGCGCCCACTTCCTCACCATCACCAGCATCAGCGCCGCCGCATCACCGCCGTTATCGTCATCCTCGTTGGCCGCCATTGCCGCCGCCATCCGTAAATCGCATTACACATGGACATCATCATCATCGTCGTCGCCAGTATCGGTAATCGTAATTATTGCCGCCGCCATCGCTACCATCATCATCATCATCATCATCATCATCATCATCATCATCACCATCATCACCGTCATCATCATCATCATCAGCATCATCATCACCACCATCATCATCATCATCGTTGCCGCCGGTAGCGACGTCATCATGATATCGGGCCCGCCCGAGTCAGTCTCCGACCTGCACTGAAGTGCCCGCGCGCCAGCGCGGTCTTTGACATGCGCTGGGAAGTTCCCAGACGTACGCGCCATCGCGGCCGCATTGGCTATGCAAATCCAGATGGCCGCTTTGCACTCTTGCTTGCGCGCGCCAGCGCAGCCGCAGAGGTGCGCCAGCCAGCGCCAGGTAGTCCCAGCAATCGCGGCCGCACGGGTTGTGCAAAACAAGTTGTGGGTGGGAGGGTGGGATGATTGCGCAACCAGTGGAATGGACCCTTTCCAGATGGAACTGGCCACAAAGCTTGCACCACACAGCATGCGCCACATGGAACGCACCGCATGATTCAACGGCGCCACGTAGATTTCGAAGCAGAGTTTGCACCACACAGGGGATGCCACACAGCATAGACCGCATATGTTGCACCTCATAGCGTGCACCACGTGGAGTGAACCACGCAGCTTGCTCCAGGTATACCGCTTGTTCAGAATGCGAGAATTTCTTGTTTGGCGTCCATGCTGGCAACCATATACTTGTTACCGCCGTCGACTGTTTGTCCAATCTGAAGACGATGCCCGTTTTGATCACCAGCGGCGTTTTTCATATTGGAGAACCCCAGACGCTTGCTTGCTAGCGGTTCCTGTGTGCCGTTTGAATATATGTGTATAGTTTGTATAGCTCGCTCGCCGCAGTGGAGCGGCGGTCGACTATAACATGATTTTTAGGGGGAGCCTCCCCTGCGACACGTGTTGAGCATTGGGCCGCACGTCTCGCCCCGTAAGCATTCGACTATTATAGAAACAGTTTTCACCATCGTCATCCTAATCGTCGTCGTCGATCGCACAGTCGTGGCTTCAGCAGCCTCCCCTCTCACTGCCTGGACAGCCGTTCCCCACTTCGCAGGCTCAGCACTCCCCTCATCTTCGGAACTGTGGGTGCTCCGGAAACCGATTTTGAGCGGATTGTGGCCGTCCGAAGGAGACAACCACAATTTGGTCGAGCCCAGTCGAGTCTCTGGATCCGTGCAGGTCCGGGGGGAGTGCCCCCTCAGTCGAGGGAAGAAACAGGGTGACCATGACCAAGATGTCGCGGGACCTTGCCAATGCAGGTCTTGGTCATGGCCCATCCCTGTCGTCGCCGATTGGCCAGGGCGATCCACGAGTTGACGATGACCAAGATGGACGATGACAAAGGCCAGATGCCGACGTTGCCGCGCTCAGTCGTGGTCATGGTCATCGTTTTCTTCCCCCCCATCCGATGTGGATCACTCCGCCGAGCAAGTGTAGCAATTTTGTCTCAAGGGCCGCGCCGCCGGCAGTCGGGCGTTCTTGCCCACTTTCTCCCCAGACGTCCAGAGTCTCGATTTTTCCGCGATGGGCCCCCGACCTCTCGACCAGCTCCACGGGACGGGTTTCTCCTTTCGAGCAGTTTTTTTATGTCAGTCCCGAGGCCTGGGAAAGGGCCTCGAGACGTCGAAGACGATGAGAAAGGCCGCCGTCTCGATCTTTTCGAGGCGCTGGATGTCTGGGTCCGTCCCCAGGCGTCTGTTACGCCCACCAGCAGCCAGAGGCCATGCAGGGATCGGTCGCCCCCGCCGCGGCCCGGGCGTTCGTGGCCCCACCCCCACAGGCAGCGGGCGCCCGCGTCCACGGTCTCGCGGTTCGGACCCTTCTCGGCGACCGCACTTACCTGCCTGGAACACATCCCTGTCCCTCTGCTTGGCATCTCCTTCTCTTGGGGCCGATCTCAACGATTCCCTCAGATTCTGAGGGCGCATCCCTCAGATGGTCATCCCCCTTTGGCCTGTCAATCTTAATTAGGGATAGGGATAAGTTCGTGGCTACGTTGCGCACGTGGCTGTGGCTGCGTTGGGGTGTGGTTGGCGATCTGCGCCGTTGCGGCTTGATGCCGCATCACGTTGCGCCGAACGCTCGATGGCCCCGCATGGAGGAGAAGCTCTTTCGAGGTCCTCGCCCGCCCCCCGGGGGCGCGGGTTGCAGACCGACCCTTCTGAGCCAGCGACCCTCGGCTGCGATCCCACGGATACGGAGCGGCTCTGCGAGGGTGCTCCGCGCGGAGCGCACGCACGTACAGGCCCAAGCGACGCCACAACAATTGCGACGGCCGATTTGTCGCTGCCTTCGGCCTCTGGGGGGCGTTTCCCTGCCCTGGGACCGTCAAGAGTCGACTCGGGAGGAGATGCTGGCCCCAGGGAAAGGATCGATATCCCCGGGGGCTGGCGCCATGAGAAGACGGCGGCGTTGGAGGAGAGGGCGTGCGACCGCGCATCCAGATATGGGATCGGTGCCTCGGCGTCGAGCCTCGCGGAGGCTTGGGTACTGACAATGTCAGGGCCGATCCGTACCGAAGCCTCCGCGGTGTCTTCCGCCGATCTGTCCGCGAAAACAGATTGGCGGATGCCATCCGCCGATATGTTTTTCGCAGCCCGCGGCCCCAGAGGTCCCGACCCTTTCCCCAGGAGTTGGGTTTCCTTCCGGAACCATTTTTGGTGGCTTCGGGGCCCGAAGACGGCCCCCGAGGGCCGATAAGTCGAGGAACAAAAACGACGAGACTGGAAAAGACATGTGGCCAGAGATTTGGGAGGGTCCTCCCCGCACATCCGGCGCTCCGATTTTTTCGACACACGGGCTCCAGACCTCTCCGTCACTTCCC